TAAATGAACTTTTCCACGACATTCTAATTTGAGATGCACCTGTATCTACATCTTGGATGGCCTGAGGGTGAGTCCATTTTCATAGAGATGGTATTCAAAACATTGCATCCGAGATCTTCCAGCTGAAAGAAATGTGATGCATCACAATTGGATGAATCACAGTGTGGTTTATTTTTTACAGGGGATTGTAACTCTACCCCTTCAGAGACGTCAACAACCAAAAAAGATACTCGGTTATCAGCGGAGAAGGAGTCCTCATCAGACACCTCGACAAACACTCAGGTAAAAGCATCACTTACCTTCAAATCAGAAGAAAATAATCAAAGATGGGAATGACTTGAGGGTGAGAAAATGTTTTGCTTTTTGTGTTTTATTAGGAAAGTGAAGATGGTTCCCCACCCACAAAGAAAAGTAGAGTGGAATCATCTTCTCAGGACTTAGATAACTAAAGCTGACTAGTTTGCTCCCATGTTTCAAACACGTCACTGTCACAAACCAATGAGGAAACACAACACACTTAACAATCCATTCCTGATCTTTAAGTACAGCTTCACCCTGTTCATCATCTTCTCACCTGGAGCGAACATTGTCGCTGTGCCAGTGAACCGAGGCCGACGACGAACACTGACCTGATCCTGTGAGAAACCTGCAGCCTCGCTCCATTCAACTCATGCACGATATACAGCGTTAGTTTAACAGTAATGAGAGTGAATGCACTGCATAGATTTGTCAAGATAAAAGATGGATTTGCTGCTGTGATCATCTTTGTTTTAAGTCTTCTATTATTTAATTGAATGACTCTACTAGTTGTTTTTCGAACTATTTTGCAGGTTGTTGTATGGTTATAGTGCTGGTGTTTGGTTTGTTCATAGATTCTCTACTGGTTAGTGTGCCTTCTGGCTCCATGATGTGTGATTTTATTTTTTTATTTTTGTGGCTTTTGTTTTTTTAAAAGCTTTTCAAAGCATCACTGCTTTTTAAGGGGATGAATAATGTTTTGTTACATGTCAAAATGAATCGAATATATACCTCATTTCCAAACCAGCTGAGCTGGAACTTAATTCTTGATTGATGGATAAATCCTATTCACTGAACACAATCGGGCAGTTTTTAAATGTCATTTTCAACAATAAATCCATTCTCACTTCAATCTGATGTAGCAACGTTCAAGGAACATACAATGAAATACTCTATAGATACATTGGGACCATGTTTTCTTGAAATGAATTGGTTTTGTACAGTTGATTAATTTTGGTTTTTATTTATTTCACCATTAGTGCTTATTTTTAGCATATTCAATTTGTTTTAATAAAAAATGTTAACTGAAATGATTACGACTAGCCTATTTTTTTATGACTATTTAGCTTCATGCTTGTTTTGAAGTATTTTTATGTGGGGTTTTTTTCAATTCGAGATTAATAGCCCAGCTTACACAACGTTTTGTTTAGGAAAGGCTAAGACTGTATTCATTATATACGACGGACGTATTTTCATATATTTTTCGACGTTACCTTATACTTACATTGTCCAGAAACGTTTTTGATACGAACATAATTTAAAGCGTTTACCAAAAACATGAGTATTAGAAAGCAAAAGAGAGGAATAGAGATCAAATATAAGACTTTTTCACCACAATTCGTTGTTCAGAATTGAAATTACATCGAAACTGTACTGTATATGATTCTGCATCAACCATCACTTTACCTGATGTTATAACATGACTGTTATATGACTTTCGTTAACTTTTTAAGAGTTTGTTGATGTAATTCGTCGTGAAGTATCTTACCTCAGATCTGGCGTTGTGTCAAACTTCCTTTGCGCGCGCTTTTCGGTTTTTGTCTGCCATTCACAAAATGAAATCAGAATTATAATTTATATAATAAACTTTTGGCTGTCATGGTAAATTGTAAATTATATATAGACATTGTTCAAACAATATAATGGCATTTGTATTTTGGTCATAAACATACACTAATTATCCTATTAGGTTAGCAAAAAGCGTCAAATTCACATCTATTTTACATTTTACATTGGTGGCTGACTAAATACTTTTTTGCCCCACTGTACTATTTTATGTGGGGTTCAGATTTGTCATATCAGGCTGCATTTTTAAGGGACATGAATTATTGACTAGGCCCCTTCTGTTCTATTTAGG